AGGTAACACAATCAAAACTGGCAATAATTTTAAAACTTCTAGCAATTTTTAATAAATTTTCTTGTGAATAATTCTTTTCTTTATGGCAAATAATTGTTTTTCTAAATAATCTTGTGTTTAAAAAATCATTTTAACATTCGAAAGCTTTTTATTCAGTTTTTTATTTCGATTAAGGAAACGTTGGTATTTCAAAATTAAATATTTTTTATATAATTTTGTTTTCTTTTGCACGGCTATTTTTCTTTTATTTACACATGGATTGTATTATTTTGTTCTTTGTTTCTTCAAGTTTGTCTCTTATTATTTTTTTTCCTCTTACTTTGTTCAATTTTGTACTCCCCTTTAGAAAAAACGATAAATCAGTTCCCACTTTTTTGTTTTCATTACACAAGGTGTGTCAGCTAAGATTTTCTTACTTGTTAACAGTCTTTTTGTGCATTTTTGTGCTGTATTTAGATGTAAAAACACGTCAAAAGAGAATTTAAAAATGTTTTTTGAAGTTTTTTGTTTTTTTTAACTTTTCTCTTGGGTTACTTTTTAAATTCTTTGGGCTTTTCTACAAATTTGGTTTTGTCTCCTAGTTTTCTTCCTTCTTATATTTTTTTGTTCTTTTTGTAACTTAATTTTCGTAATTCCAAAATAATTCTGATAAACTTTTTGAAAGAAATATCTCCGATAATTCTAAAAAGATTTCTGATCGCAAATTTGAGAATTTTTTTTGGGTGTAGTTAAAGAATTTAAAAAAGGGTCCCTAGACATCCCTATTCAAAAAAAGATTTTTGCAAAACCTTCAAAATTTTTCTTTTTTTTGCTGTAAAATTATTGTTCTCATAAAAAACTCATGAAATAACATACCATAAAACTGGCATTTTCTTGTAGTGACACATTTCCGTCGCCACCGCAATTAAATCTGGACATTCCAAGAAGCTTCTCTATTTTTATCTAAATGTAGCCAAACTATTTGAACTAAATTTAGTCAGTGAGTTGAAAATAATCAATTTTTAGGTGGAGTGACAGTGAAAATTTCCTGTGCAACACGCGATTGTGTTTATTCAGTTCTCTTCCTTCCCTAAATTGTTTGATTAATTCGTGAAGTAACCAATGAAGTCAGTTTCGTGACATTCCCCATGTTCCCCTACTAAACAATCAATTTCTGATGGAGAATGCACCCAAGAAAATTATTTCTATTGCAAAATCCTTTCATTCCCTGGCAATAAATTCCGATCAATTTCGAGTCCTTCTCGTGCCGGCCTATTATAATTTCAAATTTGTACCAGTCTCCTAGGGATCTTAATAGATCAATCAATGTCCGAGAATACAATGAACCGTTAAATTTTTTATGACTCTTATCATACCAGGTGAATAAAAAGTATGGAACCAAACGATTTTTGCTTAAACCATTTATTTTTTGGAAAAACTAATTGATGAATAATAAAGTACCATAAAAATGTGATATTTTATTAAGAATAAAATTTTTCAAAATTTATCTTTTGTTTTTGAGTTCTACAAAAATTTTAATTTTTTTAAACTG